GATTCGGGAGAAGAAAGCAGAGAAATTTCTTGAGGGAACAAAACTTCAGGAAGGATCCAATTTGCGTACGCGATCGAGCGCTGGTCGAACGAAGACGTTTTTATTGTTGCGTTGAAAGCCTTTTGGGATCGAATATGTGTGTTTTTTCACCCCCAATTTGTCGCGACGCGTGCACGTTCGTCGTTGCAACAACCGTGCTATTTCGAGGGGAACGCAATGTTGGAATCCGTAACGCGGTAACGAGAGGCGCGCGACTGCTGTCGCACTGTGTCACGCGAACTAAATTAATTTCGCGATAAGCGACACGGCTACTTGCCGGAGTTACCGCGGATCTAACGAGTGAATGCATTCCGGGCGCAATGTGCGACTACAGTGTCGTTTAATTATATTCATACGGTGTCTAATAATGCCTGAATAATAGAAAAGGTTGGTTCGTTTTGCTGGTTGGTGAAATAATAATTGACGAAATCACAGTTGTATATTCACAAGAATCTATGTATAATACAAAGTAAGACGTGTTCGATGTACAGAGACGTCGACAACACGCACAACACTTGTATAAAAAGCCCAGATAACACCAATAGAATCTCTATGATAGCACAGATGACTTTTAACAGTCTTTTGAGAAAGAAAATAAGCTTATACTGGTGTTGGGCAGTCAAAGAACTTGAATTTTTGAGTCTAGATGTGGTACGTAAGTTCCCTGTCGACAAATAAAAATGCAAAGTTCTCCCAGCTGGAATTTATCGACCAGGTGGCCACTTCGTCGAACGGGATCGAGAAATCGATTCTTGGTAGTCGATTCGCGTGTCCACTGGTTTGACGTATCCCACCTACCCTTCCGCGACGCTGTGTTCGCTACCAAATTATTGCAGCTCATCGATCATCGAAATTTGACACTTATATGCACCGAAATCTCCTTAACAGTGCCACAGCCCACGTACCGAATATGATCGATTGCTCCTCGTTGTGATTGATCCGCGGCTACCGCGTGGAATACCTAGAGAGTCGAGGAATCGCCAACCTCCTTTGAGACTGGGTTGAAACTCGCGCGATGCGAGCCACGACGAAATCTCGATGAGATAGGGAAGTGGGTCGAGTCGCGTCTCGACGCCTGTTGATTCGAATATTATCGGAAATCGACGGGAATCGTAAACGTTGCTGGGATTCAAGTGAAATCAAACTTACAAATTTTCACTCTTGCGCGACCATAACGTTATCGCGAGGCTACCAGAAAAGGTGATTACTCTATCAGAAGACAAATTAAGAGTGGATTAAGAGGTAGAGTCCTAACAAGTAGTGTTCGGATTACCAGGCACCCAGTTATTCGAATAACTATAATAAAAGGTGGACAAATTTTTCGAGTGAAATTAAAAAATTTTAAATGGTTCTAAAAAAATTATTTTTAGTTAGGAGTGTCAATTAGAATCATTTTTGGTGAATAGACATATCCCCGAATTCCCACGCATTTTCGAGAAAAAAATTAGAGTAAATACAGAAATTTTTGGGCGAAATTAAAAAATTTTAAATTGTTCTAAAAAAATTATTTTTAGCTAGAAGTGTCAATTGCAATCAATTTTGGTGAATAGACATATCCCCGAATTCGTACGCATTTTCGAGAAAAAAATTCCTTACCAAAAATATAATTTCAAGCTTGAAATGTCACTCCAAAATTTCATGCGTATCTTTAAAACGTCATAACTCTTGAAGGGATTGGAGAATTTTAATGATTAAAAAGGCAAACTACGTGTATTTTAGTGCAGAATATGTACAAATCGCAAAAATATTCGAGAAGTTGTTCCTTAACCCCGTAAAATGACAAAAACCCCATAAAAGTGATCCAATTTTCAAACAACCATAACTCCTACAATAGTGAATATATTTCAATGAACTTTTTTCTGAGGTAGAGCTCATAGGTACCTACAAAAAAGTACTAAACAACTTTTTCATACAACGTCAAACAAATGTAATAAAAATGAAAACCGAATTTTTAAGAAAAATTGACAGGGTCTATTTTTCAGTGAAAAAAAAAAATTCAAATCTTTCTAAAAAAAATACTCTTTTCTGCAGGGGTTAATTACAATCATTTTTGGTCATTACACATGGCCCCTAATTCCTATCCACTTTCGAGAAAAAAATTCATGAAAATGGATAAATTTTTCAACAAAATTAAAAAATTTCAAATCGTTCTGGAAAAATTATTTTTGATTGTGGGGGTCAATTACAAACATTCTTGGTGAATACACATACCCCCGAAATCCTACGCATTTTCATGAAAAAAAATTCTTTACCAGTTTGGCCAATTCTTATCAGAGTTGACTATCAGAACATGCGTAATTTGTTTCCCGAACAGTTGTTATCAGGCAGGTCTGGGAATTCTCGAATCATTTGCAGATAACTGGATCCCACGAACTTGGAATATTTGAATATGAATTGAAAATTAAGTGTGCAAAAGAACGATGAACTTTCAGACAGGTGATCCACTGGACAAAATATTCGAATAGTATTCGAATTGGCAATTACCCGAATGGATATCCAAACAGCCAAATCCTCGAAGAGATACAGGAACAAATAATACGAGCTATTTTTATCGAGAATATCGCGCGAGAATTCCGTGGAAGAGACGATCGCTAAAAACTATCTCGAATCGCGCGTTTAATCATGGACGAGACAGTGGATTTTGGAGAAGTGAGATGCTGTGCAGAGGCCAGTAAAACTCGGGTTTTAAAGGCACGAAAAATCGTGTCTCTCGAAAACGGGGAAGATGATATCTTGGAAAACGTAAAAGGGATCAAAGAAAAAAAAGAAAATCAAAATATCGAGCAATCTCGTAAAACTATAACGTCGAGATCAGCTTATAAATTAACATTTCGAGGGTTTCAAGCAATCTGAACTTTACAATTTAATTTACAAAACAAGTATCGAATATTTTTATTCGAGATCGACGCGTTGCCTTGTTAGATTTGGCTCGCATAAATTTCTGAAAGGGACTGTTCCGAGTCGGAGCGTCGTAAACCGCTCGAGGCGTTCAAAAAGTAAGCCAACTGGAAAAAGTCGGGTACCGCGGTACAAGAGAATCTCCTTAGGACACGAGGTCTAGCAAACGCCGGCATAAAACAGCATCAAGAGACTCCGCCGCCGACAATTTAACGGCGCCAGCCATTCGGGGGAGAGGAACGGTTCGAAAGTCCTCAGTCGATCGCGAACGAACCGTGAAATCGATGAAACGAAACCCCGAAACACGATCGACACGCTTGAATCATTTACCCCGGCAATTCATCGCGTCCGTACAATTTTCTCTGGCCACCATCGTACGAAGCGTTACAATGTAACGCGGCGAGGTGTGACGATAATGAGGGTGCGAAACGGGCTGAACAGGAAACGAGGGAAAGGTGGAGATGTCGAGAATGGCTCCAAAGATCCACTCGAAGACATCGATCGGTTATCCGTGGAATCAACTAACTCGTAAAAATAGAAACGCTAACACAACTTATTTTTCAGAAGAATTACACAATTTTTTTATACTTCTTTCACTCTGTAGATTGACTGGTACCTGTTATTGGGTACACGATGGTAGCTAGATGAGGATGTGACTTTAGAGTGATAGAGTGAAGAAGATTAGAGAGAACTCCATGAAAAATTTCTTAACGAAACGTTTTAGGTCGATTAAACTGCACCCGTGAGCGATAGAAAGAGATCTCGTTGCTTATTACGCGTAACGTTGTTGCACATTGACTCTGCTGCGTGGACTCTCGCGGCCGGTAAAATTGGAGTGGCGCGAAAGGAACGCTTTCCGAAGAGTAAGTTATTACTATCGGAATAGTTGGAATAAATGAATGTAGTACTGAACGAGCGTAGTTGACTTTTTGACTGTGTAACGTGGAATGTCTATTTCAGGTCTGATGTCGGTATTTACATGGATGGTGGAATGTTCTTATTGGCTAATGTGTCGTGTTGTACGAGTGTCGTTGGTTCTGAATGATTGGTGTAGTTGTTCTGTGTGGGTGTGGTTTGACTGTACTGGCGGAAAGGGCAGGCTCTGGTGAGGAAGCCCTTTCCGGGGTTGGGACGGAGTTTTCTAGTAAATTTGAATGTTAGTAACAATTAAGTGAAAGCTAGCCAAGTGAAAGTACGCGCTAGCAACGCACGTGCATTTCAGCTGTCTAGAAAACTCCGTCTTGGTTACCCTTGAGTAACAAAAGGCCGAGGGTCGTTTGCAGGCCCGGCCAACGGCTCGACCGAGGGCCTTGACTGTCGCCACCTAACCCTGCCATAAAGGCTAAATTGCGAGGTCCTGCTCGCGTCGCGACATACCGGCCCCCTTGACCGATTACGGTCAACAAGTAAAGATTTTACAGAAGATTATTTTACATGATGAACATTAAAATTTAACTTATCTATATACTGTACAAAATTTGTATGAGGCAGGTTGTAAGTCTGCATGTCTCACTGTGTAGGTGCGTGTATGTATGCGTGTTTGTGACTGCTGACGTCTGTGAGTATTTTATAAATGTTTAGAAAGTGTGTTCTAATATTGTCGAGTGTAGCTTAAAGTTTAGTGTGTAGTTGTAACTATTTACAGAGTGTCTTGTGAATGTAACTTAACATCTAGTGATTCGAATATTCTAATTATATTTTTTTCTTTTTTATATACATATATACATATACATTGTTTCGGTGTTGTATTAGGCAGAAGGTATTCTGGATTTGATAAATTAGTCCACTGGCAACGGCGATAACCTTTTGACGGATCTTTTATATTCGCCTGCTATGGTTTTTACCGTTGCGACGCGGGCGATGCTGTCGTCACCAGGGTGGACTGCGATGACGCGTCCCAGGGGCCAGCACATAGGCGGCACATTGTCTTGGTGCACGATAACCAGCGTGCCTTCCTTGACCTCGGTTGGGGTGTTGGTGTGCCATTTCCTGCGGACTGTCAAGTGGTGCAGATAATCTTTATGCCAGCGCGTCCAGAAATGCTGCTTCATCTGCTGAACGTGCTACCACATTGTCAGTCTGGATGTTGGAACATCCGTAACGTTCGACTCATTGATACTGGTGATCAAGTCGCCGATAAGGAAGTGACCGGGCGTAAGGGCGGTAAAATCGTTCGGATCGGATGTTAGTGGTATGAGTGGGCGAGAATTTAGTATGGCTTCAATTTCTGCGAGATATGTGGTCATGGCCTCGTATGTTAGCAGGGTTTTCCCGACGGATCTGAGTAAGTGGCGTTTTACCTGCTTGACCGCTGCCTCCCATAATCCACCAAAGTTGGGCGCGCGCGGGGGAATGAAATGCCACGTGATGTTATTATTGATAGCGTAGTGTTGTATGACGCTGTCGGTGATTGAGGCTCTGAACGAGCTGTGCACTTCGCGTAATTCGCGATCAGCACCGACGAATGTCTTCGCATTGTCCGAATAAATATCGGACGACTTTCCCCGTCTCGCGAAAAACCTTTTGAGGGCCGCCAAAAATGCATCTGTGGTCAGATCGCCGACCAATTCAAGGTGTACCGCCTTCGTCGAGAAGCACACGAATACGGCTATATATGCCTTTACGGTTTTGGTGTTGCGTACGCGCTTTTCCTTTATAAAAAATGGGCTGCAGTAATCGATACCAGCCCTTGAAAATGGACGGTTAAAGGTAATGCGGTCTTTGGGTAGGTTGCCCATTTGGTAGTTTGTTATTTTCGGGTTTGCCCGATAGCATGATACGCAGGTACGAATGCACCGTTTCACCGCTTGTATGCCATTAATTGGCCAATAGTTCTGCCGAACCGCGTTTAAGGTGCCTAAGACGCTTGCATGGAAGTGCCGCAGGTGCTCGTGGCGAATGATCAGGGCCGTGAGATGGTGTTTTGCCGGTATGAGGATTGGGTGCTTTGCATCGTACGTAGCATCGGATTTGATGATGCGACCCCCCACGCGCAAAATTCCCTTTTCGTCCAAAAACGGGTTTAATGTTCGAAGTTTACCCTTGTATGAATGTGGTGTTTTGATTAGTGATTTGATATCATCGGCAAATTCTGTTTGTTGAACGAATTTTAGGATTCTTTGCCGCTCGAGTTTCAACTCGTCTAAGCTAAGGGGTCCCGTTTGCCTTTGTTTAGTCTTTAAAATATGGTGGAATCGAAGGCAATATGCAATGGTACGTTCTAATCGCCCCAAGGCCGAAAATCTGTTTATGATTGGAATTGTAGGAGTGGCTGTAGCCAGGGACACTACGGTACGGCGCTCCGGCACCTCGGCAGGTAGCAACGCGTTAAACGACCATTTGTCCTCTGCTTGTCGCAACCATTGAGGACCGGAAAACCAATCATTGATATTTCTTAATTCCGACGGCTCTACACCCCGCGATAAGCAATCAGCTGGATTGTCCTGCGACGGAACATGACGCCATTGACCCTCATCCGTTGATTGCTGGATTTCGCTCACACGATTCGCTACGAATACCTTTAAGGTGTGAGGAGGGGTTTTTAGAAAGTGTAATACAATCATTGAATCTGTCCAAAAAACGTTCTGTTTTGTTCTTATTTTGAGGGATTTTTCCGCGGCGCTAAATAATTTTGCAAGTAGTACCGCGGCACATAATTCTAGGCACGGTAAAGATTGTAGTTTTAGGGGCGCGACACTATTTTTTGAGCAGACTAAATACGCGAAGTGATGTCCGGATGTGTTAGTGGAACGCATGTATATACATGCCCCGTACGCTTTCTCACTGGCATCGCAGAACCCGTGTAGTTCCAACTCGATGTGCTTATCGCAGATGATTCTGCGCGGTATTGACAATTCCCGAATGTTTTTCAATTGCGATTCAAAAACTTTCCATTCGGTATGTAACGTTTCTGGAATGGATTCATCCCAGTTCACGCCTACTTGCCAGAGCTTTTGCATGAATATTTTGGCCTTGACGATAATGGGCCCCAACAAACCTAACGGGTCAAAAAGTTGAGCCACGCGTGACAGTATGGCGCGCTTTGTTACCTGCCTAAGGGGCTCATGCCTTTTCACCGCGTAACCGAGCGTGTCGTGTACCTGGCTCCAGTACAGACTAAGCGTTTTTCTAAATTCGTCTGCAATTATGTTTGTACAGTCGCTTTCATTGTAAGCAGTTACGGATTGTAGCAGCTTTACATTGCTTGACGACCATTGTCTTAATTCGAAGCCACCCTTTTTTGTTAACTCGATTAGCTGGTCGCGAACTAGAGTAGCCTCCTCTACCGTGTCGGCTCCCGTTAAAAGGTCGTCAACGTAGAAATCAGATTTCAGTACAGTTGCTGCGCGGGGAAACTGGGCGCCTGCATCATCCGCTAATTGGTGAAGTGATTTGATGGCCAGGTAGGATGCAGACATGGGGACATTTAGATTCTCGCGCCAAAGTATCTTGTGGAAATGCCGATCTTCCGGAGCTAATTTTATTTGGCGGTACATTTTGGCTATGTCGGCGGTTAAAACGTACTTATGTACTCGGAATCTGGTAACTATTGCGAATAGGTCTTCTTATATGGTGGGACCGATCATTAGCGCGTCGTTTAAGGATACACCCGTGGACGATTTCGCGGATGCATCGAACACCACTCGAATTTTAGAAGTCACGCTATCTTCGTTGTGCACCGCGTGATGCGGAAGATAGTAGCCATTAAATTTGGAACAGAATTTAAGCGGAGTCATGTGTCCCAAGCTCTCGTATTCGCGCATGAAGCTAATGTATTGCTCGCGTGCTACGGGATTACGCTGAAGGGCCTTTTCCAGGGATAAAAATCGCTTCATAGCAGTGGCATAGGATTCGCCCAATTGCTCGATTTTACTGTTACACGGCAATCTGACGATGTATCGTCCAGATGCCGAGTCGCGACGCGTGTTAATGGAATAATGCTCTTGGCATGCTTGTTCTTCTTTCGAAAGCAATTTTTCTCGAGGAGTTTCCTCGAGCTCCCAAAATCTGGCCAATTGTTCATCTAGCGAGTTTATTGCCATATTACAAACTACCGCCTTGGAATTTTTATGGCTAGGGGTTTCACCAACAACTAGCAACCCTAGTAATGTTTTACGTAGCATGACTGTTGGTTGTGCCAATTTAATTTGGCCTACGTTAAGTAGGTGCCAGAATAATTGTGCCCCTAACAGGCCGTCGACGGTTGTGGGTTTATGGAAACTCGGATCGGCCAGTAGTATGTTTTTGGGTAGTTCTAGTGCTTGTATATATATGGCGTCGTGTGGTAAAGGTAGGGTAATTTGTTTAGCAATTAAGAATTTTATCTGGGCGTTGAAATTAGTAGTGCGCGACTGTATACGAGCTGTTATGTATTCCGTTATTTCCGATTGCATGTTACTCATACCGGTGACCGGAATTTGAGTTTGAGAGAAGGGCAGATTGAGTCTCTTGGCAGCGATGCGGTTGCCGATTCTCATCTATAATTTCGATGACGGCAGTGGATAATATGACGCGACTTTCTATGGCGTGATTTAAACAAGCGACATTGACGCGACTTGCTGAAGGCTGAGGTTCTACCGGTGTGTCGGTGTGTAAGAAGGTGTTATGTTTTTTGTGGCATACCTTACAACCACTGCTGTTGCATGTAGCTGCAGTATGCCCCTTCTTTAAACAATTGGAACAAAGCCGCTTATCCGAAGCAATTTTTATCCGCTGGGATACCGGAGCCGCGCAGAATGCGTCGCACGCGAAAATCGCGTTAGGTCCGGTGCACAAGGGACAGCTGACTTGTGTCGTCACATGCACCCTTTGGGCCGTATAATTATTATTGTTTACGGGCCGCGACGCGAACTGATGCTGTGGTGGTCGTGCTGTGAAAACGTCCGCCTGACGCGTACTAAACGCCGGACCCGCCGGCTCGATATCTTGTCATCGATTGTGCAAGAATTTGCATAGCACGTCGAGACTAGGGAACGAGTTGTCGCGCGTGTGCTCCTTCCATTTCAGGTTCGTTTCCTGATCTAAACGCGATAGGCACATGAAAATTAAAAGCGTGTCGGCAGACGGCTGTTTTAGTGTTTTGAGCGCTCGATAATGCGATTCCAAATCTGTTAAGAATGGTCGCAGATTGCTATGCGTTACTCTCGTAAGGTGCGGTAAATTGAACAAGGCGCGTACGTGGTTGGTTACGATTACCGCGGGCTTATTGTAACGGTCCTCTAGTAGGGGCCATGCCGGCTGATAGTTCGCGGCTGAATTTTCTAATGAGTCTATAACGCGCGACGCCTCACCACGCAAACATGACCGTAAATACATTAATTTTTTGCATTCACTCAAACGGAGGTTTTCGTGCACGGCGGATTTGAATTGATCGGCGAATCCGGGCCATTCTTCATATTGTCCACTGAACTGTGGAAGATGCAATTTTGGCAAACTAATCTCGTTTTCCAGCGCTTCTAAGCTGGCTGGCGTATTGTTGATGCCGCGTTCATGAACTAAATGTTGCGCGGCGGATGCTTGTGCCGCTTGCAAGAATTTTTGCGCCCGAGAAATGTATGTCACATACGCGTTTTATATCTCGAGACGCTCTTTCATTGATTCTCCCGTTTCATCCGCGGCATCTAATTCGCCTTGGTTTTTAGAAAATGACGCGAATTCCGTAGCCAGATCAGCTAATCTATTTTTAATTTCCACGTCGTGGCTTTCGGGTTGGCAGTTGTCAAGGGCTTCTTTAAACATTAGCAGTTCGAGTTTAAACGCTGCGCGTTTTAATTTTAATGAACGCATGCGTTCTTCCACGGTTGGAGCCATGACGCTATATATTATTTAGGAATGGAACGAAAGGACGACGCGCTTGATCGCAGTAAAATTGAGCGTACGTTACCGTTCCGTTGTTTTCCCAGGAAGATCTGCTACTGCGGCTGGTGATGCCGCTGCGTTGACTCGTTGAGGCTGGGCCTTTCTGCTTGGCAGCTCTCAGCGACGTCGATGTGTCGGCTGCTGGTGCAGCGGTCCAACGATGCTCGTTCTGCCGGTGTCCTTGCTGGTTGAAGACGTCAGGCGTTGATTCCAACGTTGTTTTTTGATACAATGTTGTATCGTGCTGTAGCGAGTGCTGAGAGTTGGCGTATGTTTCTCACGCGTATGTCTGGATGCGGATGCAGGATGGATTGATGTTTCCACAGCTGCTCGATTCGGCTCGAAGGACCAAAATGTTGCGTGGACTCTCGCGGCCGGTAAAATTGGAGTGGCGCGAAAAAAACGCTTTCCGAAGAGTAAGTTATTACTATCGGAATAGTTGGAAGAAATGAATGTAGTACTGAACGAGCGAAGTTGACTTTTTGACTGTGTAACGTGGAATGTCTATTTCAGGTCTGATGTCGGTATTTACATGGATGGTGGAATGTTCTTATTGGCTAATGTGTCGTGTTGTAGGAGTGTCGTTGGTTCTGAATGATTGGTGTAGTTGTTCTGTGTGGGTGTGGTTTGACTGTACTGGCGGAAAGGGCAGGCTCCGGTGAGGAAGCACTTTCCGGGGTTGGGACGGAGTTTTCTAGTAAATTTGAATGTTAGTAACAATTAAGTGAAAGCTAGCTCTTTCGGTAGCTCAGATGTGATTGAGATTTGGCGTACAAAGTTGTTTTTTGCTGAAAGAGCCACCACCCAAATGTAATTGCGATCGGTGCAACGATGCACTAGTTATTCGGAAACGTGACTTCGGCTAGGAAACTACCTTACCGACCGCGGTAATAATCGCAAGGAAACAATGCAAATTAGCGAATGTGCGCACAGTCGAGCCCCCTCACCTCGACAAGGTTTTGCATACGAGGGTGGTACGACCCCCGAGGGGGAAGGGACGCGACTGATCGTTTTTCAACACTACTCACTCACTGCTGTCCGTGTGAGGAGAAACCGAACACTAGCCAAGTGAAAGTGCGCTCTAGCCGCGCACGTGCATTTCAGCTGTCTAGAAAACTCCGTCTTGGTTACCCTTGAGTAACAAAAGGCCAAGGGTCGTTTGCAGGCGCGGCCAACGGCTCGACCGAGGGCCTTGACTGTCGCCAACTAACCCTGCCATAAAGGCTAAATTGCGAGGTCCTGCTCGCGTCGCAACATGAGGTATAGTGAAGATTCATTTACTCTTCGTCGAGATATCTTGCAAGATACGCTGACTATACAGTAGTATGACACAGTACTGATTTCTAAGAGACAATTACTGTCGTAACGTATTAGCTGCAGTTAATAGGAAGTAATTGAAAACAGAGAAATTCTATAAATTGAAATAGTGTTCACTTTATAGATACGATGTAGACTTGTTGCAAAATTAGTCCAAGAAATGATCAATAAATTCAAGTTTAACACTGACATTTCGATTCATTAGTGATGAAGATGGGGTTTAGTGATGTGTCTGTTAGATAATTGCTAAGCTATAAATAATCAGTTACGACACCTTGAGAAAACAATGTGGGGCCTTATCAGTCGAAGGTTGAGTCATCCATAAAAATCATCGTAACGACTGAATATTCGAAGTTTTATACGAGAATCGATGTTCAGGAACGCGTATTAAAGTACAATTACGCGTAATGCTACTCCATCTTCCGAGAAATTAAATGCTAATAGCATGATTCTTCAATACTGTCGATCGTATACGCTTCGATAGATTGAATAAAAAACTATTTTATTGCGCGAAAACTTGAAAAATGATCCACGTGTCTCGATACTACAATTTTATTTATTACTTTCTCTATCGTTTAAAGTTACACATTCTTTTCATTTCTGTACTCTGGAAAACTCAACCAAGATTTTGAATATAAAATATAAGAAACCTTTCCTCCATTTCGAATATATGAAAAATGATTCTGATAAGACTTCTCTGTCCTTGGAGAATAAAATAACTACGATTGTAACATTTATGGAGCGATTAATGTAGGCAAAAGTGCGCTACGTAGGAGAATTTTTAAAATATTTAAAATATCGTGCAGGATTTTTCGAAGTACGCATAACTCGACAAACATGGTATTTTTTGCGCTAGAGATTAAACGGTAGTATAGTGTACACAAACTCTTGAAGCGTTGGGTTCCATACTAAACGATAAAATCACTCTAAAAGCTTCGTTTTTCGTAAATAACTTATCCACTGAATTAAATTATCTGCTCCAAAATATTCGTTCGTAAAGAGTCAAAGAATTTTTTGGAGCAAATTGAAGGTTCAACAAACTTCCTATGAACTCGTTATTAGGAATCAGTAAAAATCTCTAACACGTACATTATATTCAAATATAAGTTATTTTCCAACGTGTCGGATCGATGAATGATGTGGTGCTTTAATACTCAATACACGTTGGTTAGAACAAAAAAATGAATTATATTTTTAGGAGATGAAATTCTCTAGAAATAAGTATTTTCTAACTAATACCAAAAATACATTCGGTGAATGACGTTTCACGTTTGACTCATCGCATTCCCATTGTGTGTTTCACGTGGAAAAAAACACGTGG